GATTCCTTGTCGTACCGTCGGCTGCGGAACCGAATAATTGCCTATCCGTAGACTTTCAGCCAATGAGCAATTGCCAACGTTGATGCTGACGCTCCAACATCAACCGTATGATGTTGTTGACTATTCCAGCATGGTGATATTGTCCAATAGGAATGTAGGATTGAGATAAGACATGTAAAAATTGATCTTATGCAAAATTTGGCGTGATCGTCTTCTGCTTTACGGCAAGCAGTTGGCGACCACGTCACACGTGATCAACGTGGTCGACCTTATGCTTTTCAGCAAGAACAGAAGTTCCGAAGATGAAATCAAGTAAGCACTCAAGATTGATTCAGTATCAAAGAATTTGCAGAGTTGAAGTATTTTCTTGGAATTATAATCATCCGCGATCGCAAGGACAAGGTAACTGTGATGACACAGTGCATGCATATCAAACGACATGCACAGCGGCTTGGAATGCCTTTGAACAGCAACTCAAATCTCGTGAAACCATTCGACGACGACTTGATACAAAGTTTTTGTACTGTCAAGCTTGTTGGAGGTACGATGTAAATTGCAACGTGCACGCAACCGGGCATTGCGTTTGCTGTGGGTGAAATGTTCAGGTATGATGAGCGTCAGGACAAGACAAACTGGACCACAGCTAAACCATACTTGTGTGTCTATGGACGACACAAGTTTCACACTTATACCACAAAAATCAAGGCTGTATCGCTTCGGACAAGAAATTCGTTCAGAACTCGCGAACAAAGTATACCAACATCAAGTTTCATTTCTCGTGAAAAGAAGTTAAGCTTAAGGACAAGATGATCGTGGACGTATTAACGAGCTCCCCTTGTCAAAAGTTAAGCAAGGCCGATTTATTGCTTGACTGTGCATGATGACGTATACGATTATACACGCTCGCGCATTGAGTGAGAGTGTCAGACGATGCTGCTGCAGCTAAATGTCAACTTAAACATGCAACAATTTAATCTCGAAATGCGTTATTGGTAGTATCCACCATCGGATCATATCTCGGTACCCAGCGTGAAAAGAATTACTTCTTCGTATCGACAAGCATGACAAAGCAAAATGTGTCAGCATTAAATGTTCGCTACATGCGAGTTTTGAGCATCGATTATTTACAACAAAGGAAGCATAACAGTGATTTGCTAGTATCATGACGCTTATTGTTTATGAAACCAAGTTATCGTTTCGTAGAACCATCAAGTATATTAGAAGAAGAAGACATCATTAGGTGACTTTTATTTTTTCACTGATCGTCTACCTACTGTGTACTGACAATTAGATATCAATTGTCCCAGCATTACTTCGCTACCTCGCACAGTAATAGTCGCATGCAAATTAGCATTAAGAAATGGTCGTTTAAAGATTCCTTTACGTAATATTGTGGCACTAACGATACAATCCTTTATCAGGCCAAACTGCCGGTATGGAGGAACGTAAAGTCTGTCTTGTTGCAATACCGGTATGTGATATATCGATCAGATCTGGGTCAATACAAATTATTTTACTGTTCCAATACCTTTCTTGTTTATCCGGTGGAGAACGTACACATGTGATGATTGTAGTATTGGTGAGAGATAAGTCTTCACTAAGGTGCTTTACGGTTTAATATTAACGTTCTTGTCCCAAAAAGTGATGGCGCATATTCCGGGTATGTGCGTGCATTGTCCATGGTGTACATTCACATTATATCAGGCTTAAGCCGTTGCTCAGAGATACCATGGAGTGTTGCCATGTTAAAAAATCTAGTTGGTACTCGTTTCAGATTAAGTGATTATTTTCCGAGACGTGCAAACCGTGGAACACGCGGACTATTACCTTAACGTAACGGGTTACGTCAAATTTTTAATTTTAGTTAGTAGAAAAGTCGCGTTCTTAGGTACCTGTACTTCTGACAAATCAAATTTACAGTCGCGAATTCTGATTCGCAGCAGGTATACATCCTGTGTGGGTTTATGAACGCGGACTCGAAATGACAGACAAAGATTTCGGTGCAAAGAGAGTGGCAACGTTGCACTTGGTAGCACTTGTCGTAATTCAGCAGTCAAGGCTGGATAGAGTGCACCCTCGGTCAGGATGGGACATAAAATATTCATTAATCGAATGCCAGAGTGTTGAGTAGAAGGTAAAAACCGAAGTGAATATATTTAGGTCCTTGATTCGCTACTCTGCGCTACCTCTAAGCCTGTCTTTCTAGATCCTTCTAGAAGCTTCTATAAGCATCCTGATTTATCTAGATCAATGAACGCCAACCATTATGTAGTTACTTACTCTGACGTGCTCGTAAATATGGTGATGTCATCTGCCTGTTCAACATGCATTCAGCGGTGTGATCTCAACACTCCCACTCACCGCTAATGCTGCGTGTGCTTTGTCGCGCTGACGTGACCTTGATTTCGGAGGCTTCGCGCAGATGCTTTGGCATCTTGATTCCAAGTGCCTTCGTCAGCATATTCGCAAGCTGACTCTTCGTGTCAATATAGTCGATCTTCAACAGTTTTCCTTGCACGTTCTCTCGAATAAAGTGATGTTTGATGTCCACATGCTTCGTCCTAGCGTGGTATTCGACATTATTGGCTAACGTGATCGCACCTTGGTTGTCTTCCCAAACCTGTGGTCCTTCAACTTGCTCGTGTCCCATGTCTGTTAGCATTGCCCGCGTCCAAAGAATTTCCTGCGTGCAAAGCTAGAGCCATATATTCAGCTTCCGCTGCACTTAGCGCAACCGTCCTCTGATATTTTGACTTGAATACCACTGGTGCGCTCGCTGTCATGATCATAATTCCTGAACCAAAATATGCCATCGGTGTTGCTGCCCCAATCTGCATCTGAGTATGCCTTGAACGCAACGCTCCCACTTCCTCGGTAGACGATCCTGATTTTGCTCGTAGTCTTCAAGTACTTTATTACTCGAATTGCTTCGCTCCAATGTTGTAGTCCGGGGTTCTCCAAAAGGCGTGATAGCTGTGTTACCACGTACGCAATATCCGGTCGAGTACATGTCGTTATGTACCGCAAACATCCAATTAAAGAGCGATAGGGCTTGGATCGCATTGCCGACCGTTTTTCTTCCGCTGATGGTGACTGCTTTGATGACAGCTTAAACCCTGATGCGCATGGGTTATCCACGCTCTTGGCATCTTGTTGACCGAATCGCTAGACCAGGTCGCCGATGTAGCAAGTCTGCTTGATCAATAAAGCTCCAGCTGACCTGTCGTGATCGATTTCCATACCTAAAACAAATTCTGCCTTACCCAACTCCTTCATCTTGAAAGCATTCTTGAGTTCGTCCTTGACTTGATTGATTTCTTCGCTGGTTCTTGCTGCGATAATCATGTCGTCCACATATAGTCCAATGTAGACAAACCATTTATTCGTGCTCTTGACATAAATACATCGATCTGCCCCGTAACTCTTGAAGCCATTCCTAACGAAGACACGATGAATCGTCTTGTTTTAAGCACTTGCTGCTTGATTCAGTCCGTAGATAGCCTTGATTAGTTGACATATGCATTCTTGATCATTGTTGACACCTAGCAAAACTCCCATAAAATCGTTGTCCGTCAACACGCTGTTGAAAGAAGCCGTGTCAACGTCCAGCTGTTCTATTTGATAGTCGCATTCAGCACATACTGCGAGAATTATCCGGATTGGAGTCATGTTGGCGACCGGAGAATAAGTCTCGAAAAAGTCGACGCCATGCTTTTGCTTGGATACTTTCGAGACAAGTCGTGCCTTGTATCGCACAACATCGCCATTTTTAGCACGCTTTTTGGCAAATACGCATCGTGATCCAGTTGTGCATTTAATCTTTCCTCGTGGCTTCAATGTTCACGTTCGATTTTCTTCATGAGAGCGAAGCTCAGCATCCATTGCTTCACGCCATTTCATCTCATCGTCGCTTGCCATTGCTTGAGCATACGTAGTTATTATGAGCCACACCATGCCGGACTAAACTTGTGTGAATAGTTGGCTTGGCTCAGCCACTTCCTAATTAATTTGGCAAAAAGGCACTGGCCATTCCGCAATGACTTTCATCTTCGCGTTTACTTTCCGCAGGTGCTTGCATGTGAAGTAGAAGTAAAGAGTCTAACCTCAGCACCGAATTCACATTTTTCTATGTTGACCAACATTTTCAAGCGCACCCCCAAGAGAAATGCTTGCAAATTGCACCTCTGTGCTCATCACCAATATGGACATCAATGGCGTTGAAGTTGGTTTTTAGGGACGCTCCATAGATCCTCATAATCACGTATATTTAATATTTGCTCGGCGTAATCATTCCAATCGCCAAAGTCGTTCTGACACATTTGTCGGCACCAAGTGGAAAGATTGTCTCTCTCGGTTCAATTTACCTCACCTGGAGCTCTGCCTGGGTCTATGGGTAAGACTTGCTATCCAGCGGAGCTGCCGTAGCTTTGCGCTTGAGGAAGCATCTTTAGGTCATCGACCTTTCGTTCTTTACAAGAACCAAGTACTAGTGCAGCGGATCGCAATCCGCTGCCTCTAAAAGTACTTAAAAGCCTTAACCAAGGCAATCAAACACTTCTGTTCAAAATCGAAAATGATTTTTATTTATATTTTTATCATAATGTTAAAAATTTAGATTTCCCTAAATATACTAGATATATCCATGACTACTGGCTACCTGGCCCCGTCCCGCATTCTTGTTTGGGTGTGTGGTCACATTATGCACATCTCGTGTGACACGCACACACACCTGTTATTAGGGTTCGTGTAACCCCGTTACATGCTACCCCTGTTATTAAACTTAAGGTTAAAGCAACGTTTTCGCTCCAAAAGCGTGAAAGCGTGTGCGCCACATGGTAGTGCTGACTTTGCAAAACCGTACATCATGACATGGAAAAACCATTCTTAATGGTTGCGGGGCGTCTGCGTACTTGTAAAGACTAAGTTGTATTTCTTGAGTACAGCGCAATATGAGCGAGGTTCAATCGATTTAATATGAATGAAGTACTTCACGGCGTCAAGGGTCTCGAAAAGCGCTTCATCGAGATATTGAAGTTTTTCCATCTCATTTGTATAATTTTGAACATCGCTGTCTCTCCATGAACAATCCATCGCCCTTTGGTCCTTCATACGTCGTTTACTAAGATGCATCAATTGAAAGAACTGGTTAAAATGCAGGGCTTTGTTCGTAGCTGGATCTTTCGAAAACTTTGTCACAATTTTCTATAGGCAAGCGTAACCTATGCTCTACGTTGCTCTGAGGAAGCAAATACGATAATGAATTAATCCATACCATTAGTAAACGAGCTGGACGCTTTCTTGAGCTCCGCGGCGGGTGTCGTGAAAATACTCGTCGATCAAAACGGCACGAATTGCGCAACTCATGCAGAGGTGAGGCAAGGCGCGGAGAAACGCTTTATTTACAGGGAAGTTCCCGTAGATGGGATCGCACTTGATCATACGGCTCTCGGTGAGGGCAAAGATGCTGGGTCAGAGACTCGGAGAGTCACTGTGACCGCTCTAATCGGAGAAACCGTTTGCTTATAACTGAGTATAGCTTGTAGGCTGTCGGCCACGGGGCTGCGTCTTTCTCAGTGGCTATTGGAGTTATCCTAGCAAGACATAAACAGCGAGAGCTGGCACTGGTAGGAAGACGAATTTCTGGTTCAGTGGGTGCTCGTACAGCGTTCACTTTTGCGCGATGTATCAAGAAGATAAATGGATTGAACCACTTCGGTTGGAAAGGGCGTTACGGCGTACCCATTAAACAAATCTTTAGATAAAAGTCCCAGATTCGTTTCACACATATTTGTGATATTGTGCAATATTTCAGCACTTATTGCAAAATATTTCAACACTTGTTGCAATATATTTCATAATTATTTGTCGTCTCCTAAGTTTTCATCGCCAATCAGTTTTAAGCAGATGCAATGGACTGCACTTCACCGTCGATGCTTATCGGCGCTAACTGGCCCAAGGAGATTTTAGTTAATTCGTTTTCACTTGATGACAATTCAATCTCACAACGTGACTTTAGCCACTTGGATCATCGTAATGGCACGCGTAATGTTTACAAGTTTGGTGGCACATCCGTAGGGAGTCCTGCACGACTTTGTGGTCTTGTACGCATCGTTCGCGAAGAGCGACAGCGAGTTCTGGCAATTGTCGTGTCAGCAATGGGCTGCACAACTGATTATCTGTTGGAGGCTGTGGCATTTGCAGCCAAGGGTGACGCTGATAGCGCATTGAAAGTCGTGGACAAGATACAGACGTTGACAATCACGAATGCGCATGATACGCAAAAGCAGCTCGAGGTAGAAAATATTGTGGACTTAAGTGAGGTAATCCTCAGCCACTTTAAGTCTTTACGCGAGCTGTTATTCGGTATCTCTTTGCTTCAAGAGCAGACAGTAGCAGCGACTGATACGGTATTATCGTTTGGTGAACGGATCAGTGCCACAATTGTCGCTAAATTGTTGACTCAAGCTGGTGTTGAAGCCTTTTTTCTAGATGCTCGAGATTGGTTGACTACAGATGACACACATGGCTGTGCTAAGGTTTGTTTTGACGAGTCAAAAGAGAAGTTATTAGCGCTCAAGATGCAGTGGAAGTCTGGAACGTTGCCAATCATTACCGGATTTATTGGTACCACTCGTACTGGACGCACGACAACGTTAGGACGCAATGGATCTGACTACACTGCCACCTTAGTTGGCTCAATTTTACGCGCTGACTACGTGCTTATCAATACAGACATTTCGGGTGTGATGACAGCAGATCCTCAGATTGTGGACCGAGCTACGGCACTCTCTCATTTGAACCACCACGAAGCTTTAGAGCTCGCTGTGTACGGAACACGCATGTTTCATCCACGTACCATGGTGCCGCTTATAAAAAGCGACGTCACCATGTTGATTCGCAATACGATGGACCCGAACGGCCATGGTACGTATATCAGTGGTATTGGCCGCTCTGGCATCCGCGAAACGTGCACTACGTCGTTGGAAAATCTGGCAATCATTGAAGCTAGGACACGCATCCTGCAGGATGGAAGTAATATTCTTCACCAGGAAAATATTGGTGCTCGCATCACGAAAGTTCTTGAAAAGCTTAAAGTTCCTGTGTGGCTTTCTATTCGTGGCGCGCATGGACAAGCAATAAGTGTTGTAGTACCGTTAGGTGCTGAGAAATTGGCTTGTACTGCCATTACTGCCGAATTAAAGACTGAGATTGAGTCGCACGAAGTTGATGCACTGAATTCTGAGTCGCCTATGACGATGCTCTCTGTCGTGGCTGAAGACTTGTCCAAGATTCCGTACAATCAAACCAAGTTCTTTGGAGCTCTCGCAGATGCTGGTATTGAGGTGTTAGCCGTAGGGCAGGGCACAAGCTCACGTTCGCTCAGCTGTGTGATTCGTGGTACCGATACAAAATTGGCAGTACGTCGTGTGCATGACGCTTTTAATGTCGACTTTCTTGTTACCAACATCGTATTGCTGGGCTACAATCACATCGCATTGGGCGTTGTCCAGCAATTACAGAAACAACAAGAACTATACCGCTATCAGCACAAGGCTCGCATCAATATCGTTGGCTTTAGCTCAAACTGCACCAGTTTCATGTACAATCCTAAAGGCTTTACTTTCCGAGAGGTTTTAATGCATCTGGCAAATTGCAATAGTACAAAAAGCATCGTGTCTACCAGTGCAACAAGTCCATACGCTGCCGCTCCGTCGCTGATGCAGCTGGACGAGTTGCAGGACTTGGCTATTCCTATCTTACTTGATTGTTCTGGACAAGGCAATACACAAGATCTGTATTCAGCTTGCATTGAGCGCGGTATCCACGTTGTTGCTTCCAATGCACGCTCAGTCTGTCGTCTGCCTCGTACCTCATCTCGAGAAAGTCTGGCTACTTCACGCACCAAGACTGGTCGTACATTCTTCATGTACACGTCAACAATCGGCGCTAGTCTTCCTGTGATTGACACACTAGGCAACATTTTGCGTACTGGGGATCGAATTCTCAATATTGAGACATCATTGAGCGGCTCTATGAACTTTGTCACCAATGAGGTGATGCAAGGCAGAAAACTTTCCGAAGCTGTAGGTCAAGTACTTCGAAAGGGATACTGCGAGCGTGACCCTCGTGAGGATTTCACAGGGACAGATATGGCTGCCAAAGTTGTTGTCGTGGCACGCGCGCTTGGAGTGCACATTGACCCGAGTAATGTTCATCTTAAGCCTTTGATTCCCCAAAGTGTGCTTGAAACCATCTCCTGGTCTGAAGATATCGAAGTCGACGATGTTGTTACCAAACTTAAAGCTTATGACAGCATTTTCCACGAAAAATACTACATTCCGGCTGCAGCAGAGAATAAGCGTCTTCGCTACGTTGCATCGATCAATTTGTCGAAATTTCCATCGATAGAAGCCAAAGTGCAGCCTTTACTCGTGAGTGAAGACCATCCCGCTTTCAGCACAAAAGATAATGAAATCGCATTTGGTGTCTCATCACTGCAGTATTCTACCCCTTTGGTTCTCAAAGGAACTGGCACCGGTGCCACAGCTAGTGCTACCGGTGTCCTTCGTGATGTCCTCACGATCCTGAATTCGCTCAACGGCAAAAACCTTTATGCTCAATAAACGACACAAGAATGCAATTCTAGCTTTGACACTCGGACCGGACTGGTATCGTCAGTGCGCTCAGTGTAATAACCTTCGTATTCCATTCTATAGCGACAACCAACAAATATCACATAAAGGCGAGTTACATCAATACCGTTCTTTCTGTTGTCTAACAAATTGTTCAACAGACTCTTAAGCTGTTTGAAGTTCACTGGAATAATGTTTCCGTGCAGCATATTACGTTGGTAAAGATATTCTGAAAAAAATTGTGGAAAACAAATGCTTCGACGCAACGATACAAACTTTATCAACTTTACTCAACTGTGTAGTCAGAGTAGCTACAGCTTAACTTGAAGTGACAGGAAGAACTGCAGCAGAAGCAGTGGAAGGAACAATGACTGGAGACACGACAGGATTGCTCAGAGGAAGGTTCGGAGGAATTCGAGCTGGTGTTGAAGTCACAGTGGGGCGTTCAGCAGCCAACAAATGAACGACAAGACCAGCTATCACGCTTGTGTTTCCGTTTCTCGCCGCAGAAATGATTCTGTCAGCATTTGACAGAAGGCTCGGAGTTCTTGAGATGCGCGTCAACAAATCAAACAGGTCGTCAGTACTCAATTTCGCAGCTTCACCAGCTTCAGGATCATTTTCTAACATATCTTTGATAGTTTGCGCAAGCTGAACGCGATCGGCCATTGAAAGGTAGATCGTACTGTTTGATACGATAATGGTGTTGTTCTTGGCATTGATCGCATTATTATTGGTACCGCTAGAAAGTATTGAAATCATGTCCTTGTCGTCGACATTGTCCGTACTCGTTACACTACTGGGCTGGTTATCTGCCGCCACAAAGGACAAGAGATAGATAAGCACCAATCCGACTGCAACAGTCGATATTATCATGGATCGTGACAGACTAAATCAAAGCCAACTTCAGTTCTTGGTTACTAATAACACAATGACTGATACGTCTAAGGCAAGATCGTGAATCTCGGAAAAGAAGGAAATTTTATTAAGTTTAGCTGCACGAAATTTCTATGCTCACGAGATGATTTTTATCCGAAAGATCCTGGACTTGTTCGAAGCTATGTGCACCAGTCAGGAACCAAATTTTATCGATTCGTTTGACTCACGACGAGAGGCCACGACAAACTTGAGCGCTTCAACCCATTCGCACCGTTTTGCCGTTTTAGCTTCTACGCTTTCACCGTCTACAATCTATGAGAAACACATTCGTTGTTAAACTACGTTTGACACTTTGCTGCGTATGTATAGTAGTTCATACCTCCAGATCAAGTGTGCGATTCTCTTCGTACTCGACCGAGAAGCAGTATAATGCACGAGCTGGTTGTTTCGCCCGCTCAAATACACGCGTTCTCTGACCCACACAGATCCCTGCGATGGAACGCATTGGAATGGTCGCTTTTGGAACAGTGCTGTTTACTTGGCGATACTGAAGAAACTCGAGATTAGCAGAACACCATACAAAACGCACGTGGGGCTTCCCATAACGTCCGTATTTCACGAACAAGCCTCCATTACGTAAGAGTTGCATACGTTTCCTGATCGTTTCACTGCCAGATTTCCGAGGAAGTCGGGTTTCGACGTCGTCCAATGTCGAAACAGCACCCCGAACGATTATCTGCTTGCCACTATCATGTAAAGTCTGCTCCAAGACACTCAAATTGCTAGCTTCGGGCTTAAGCGCTAAACTTTGCAATCGAGAGACAGACGGACGAGCATATTCGTGAGTTCCGGAAGCCTCTGTGTCGTTCTCACTATCGCTATCTAAACGACATTCAGACGTTGGTGATCGAGGTACATGACGCTTCCGAAAAGATTCTGCGCGGCGAATCGTTTGGTTCTGCTCTCCATTGCATTTGGATTCAGAAATGGCTTGAATTTGGTCTTTCAACGCTTCAACTTCGTGCTTCTGCTCGATTAATCGTTGCTCGAGTGCCTCAACCGTTTCATTTTGCTTTGTCACAGTATTCTGAAGTTCTGCTGTCGTATTCGAGGCAAGTAATGAATTCTCTTTTAAGACAACTAGACATCCAAGAGCTGTGGCCATTCCCGATTCCCTTATTCCTTCTACTATCGCTTCATGAAGAAGGCGTGGTTCTTCCAATTCTCCTTCACTTCTTGGCTTGTCAAGTTCCTCGCGAGGTAAATCACCAGCGAGGAGCAATCTTTCAACGAGTTCCTCACACTGTATCCAGTCAATCTTCTTCTCCTCTTGGACTCGTGTATCTTGTGCAGACTTTGCTGTAGCCAAAGCCACTTGAGTCTCTCCTTGTGCTAATGTTAGACGTCGCCCCCATTGCTGTTCCTGCTTGGCAAGATGAAGCGCTTGATCGTTTAAATTTTTCTCCAGTTGTACTACTTGTAGCTGAAGCTCCAGATTTCTTGTCTCAAGCTCAGCGTTGATTTTTTCAACTGTGGCTAAGCGCTTTTCAGCATCGACTTCAGTGTTGACGGCAACATCTACAGCCACCTCGGAGCAACGCTGCATGAAGCGACAAGTTGATATCGTTTCATCTAAGAAATCTTTCTCATAATTAAGTGTCGCGATGAAGACGGACTTGCAGTTGCCGCCCAAACTACCTCGTAAAACTGACGTAAGCATTGAATTCCGGTATGGAATGTGCTGTGCTCTTGACGCAGTATTACGTTTACTCCGAAGCGATAAAATTACCTACAGGATCATGTCAGATAGGTAAAGAAACACCCATTCAAGAGTAATAACCTTCTCGAGATGGTGTAGAGAAAGATTAATGTGCTTTCCTTCCGAACGCATACGCTGTGTTCCCTCGCGTTTGTATACACGTTCTGATCCCGCAAGATCGACCAAGTGAAGCTTGGATGTGACAATCACGTCCGAATCAATTGGACGAGACTCAATCATGACACTGAAAATGGAATGCGAGCGTGACGAAGCCTGTCAATGCATTCCAACTCCGATTAAAAGTTGATTAAAACACAATTTCTCGCTTCATTACCTGATTCATGGGCGTATCGCTCGTAATGCGGTTCATATTTCCAAGAAAAAGAAGATTCAGAGCCTCCTCCTCCGACACTGCTTCAAAAACACTACAAAGCAGCAATAGTAAGCGCTTACCCTACAACAATTCAAAGCACAACATTCAACAAACCCAAGATTTCGAAAATGCATATCACCCTCGTCATCATCCATAAGTGTCACTTTAGTCCAGTCTTCGATCGGTGTGTCAGTGTGAGACCTAAGGCATAATCGAGATGAGAGCTCATTCCATATTGCTGCAAAGGTTCACTAACTTACCGATCCAACAAGTCGTAGACATTTTCATTGTAAATTTCAAGATAGGAAATATAGCAGGAGTAACGCATATCTGGTCGTTTTTCGAATTCCTCAAAAATAGTCGAAAGTGTACGAGGAATGATGCCACGATCAGCGTAGTGTTCGCCTCCCGTAATTGTATACGTCTTGCCTGATCCAGTCTGTCCGTAAGCTAAGATAGTACCATTAAAGCCGTGTAGCGCACTATGCACAATATCCTGCAAGAAACACGGATAATCCAATAAGTCGATCTTTAAGAAAGAAATGATCCTCTCAAATACTCACGAGACAGACTTCGTTGAAAATTTGCTCTTGCGAAATGGTCGGATCAAATACATTATGAAATTGAAACTCAACCCCGTCACGTTGCTTTAAGTGCATTCGAAACTCATCATCGTCTGGAGGAGGAAATGCAATTATTGTTTTGCTTTTTTGACCATCGTCTATCTTTTCTGTAAATGAGATTAGAAAGAAACTCAGTTGTCATTGAAATATCATGCAGTACCAAGATCAAAGGTAGCACAATCATGTCCACGCCGAGGTGGCCGTAAACGTGCGTATGTACCAATGTGCCACTTGACCATTGAACAAAACAACCTTTAGTACGAACGGGAACAGTCGAGCTCAAACTGAACATTCAATACTTTAAGTTGTAATGCTATTGTGAGAATGGAACTATGTTTTTTTTTAAGTTCTATCGTACTAGTCTTGTGTTGATGAGATTCTCTGTAATTCCGTGTGCGTTAAGTCAGCGATTCAAGATTATAGCGGCTTCATGTCTCCTTCGCTTTCTATCTATTGTAATATTGTTCTTTTGCTATCTCTTCTCAAGACACAATCTATATAATGTAGAAATCACGACTCCCATGCGAAAAGATCAATTTATAATTTACATAGCCCTTGGCCAGCTAATCTCACAACATCCAATCCAGAATAATGAAATCTTCACACGCTACTTGCCATCCTACTCGTCTGTCCATTATCGTTGCGGTCCACCCCACATGAACTTGTAAATCGACGAGGCTCCACTAGTCAAAGAACTTGCGACCGTGGAAACAGTTGCTTCGACAGCTTCCACACCAATCTTGACAGAAGATCCAACAGAAGTCATGCCTTTTGATACAGTCTTTTCATTCGAATGTGCATGAACGAAATCACTTAACTTCAAGCCAATGCGTTCGTTAAGTTTGCCTTCCATTCTCAACATCAAAGCAGTCGCAGCTTCGTCATCCGACTGACCAGGTAAAAAACGTTCGATGACAAAGGCTTCGAGGTCGGTCTGAGTGTAGTTTACACCAAAATCGGTAATCTCTGGCAATGCCTTGACCACCAATGTCAACATGATCATGAACAGACTCACGTGCCGCCTTAAACAATTAAATGCAATTACACAAAGCTGCTTAAATTGCTCAAATTGCTGTGTCTGTGTGCCACCGAGCGCCTCAATCATGTAATGATCCAATCGCATCGGAGGCTGCAATGGTTTTGGATCCTTTCCGAGAATAAAGCCATAGTCAATATGAAAGAGAATACCATCTTTTGTCAGCATCACATTATCCGCGTGGCGATCTCCTACGCCTAATAAAAATGTTATTACTGTATATGCCGCCAAACTCTCCCGGAATGACGACGAAATGTCGCTCAGGGTACGATGGCCATTGTAATGATGTAGAAAGTTCATGATAGTACCATGGTCACGAATGATAGCGTACAACGTATGAGCATTTTCAACAATCTCAATGAGACCATCAAAGCTACTTGTTGGAAGTACACGATACGTCACTAGTGGAATATCTAGCCTCGTCTCTTGCTTTAGTATCAAATACATGACGTTGATAATGTTTTGCACAATTGAGTCCTTTCGCAAATCGTCTCGCTTGTACATAAGTCGATAATGCGGTAATTTTTGTGTGCGGCGGCTCCATGTGTTTCGTTGGGACTCTGTACTACTACCTGCTGCATCTTCATCTTCCTCTTCATTGCGATCAACGCCAATACACGTGATGATCATGGGTGCCTCTGCACTTCGCTTCACCTCAAGTTTCTGATAATCGATACCGCTCATTTTAACATGAGGGTCCACGGGGAGTCGCAAAAGTTGCCATTTCTGCTCACAGTCTGATAGATTTTGGAGCTTATCGAGCGATTCCCTCTCATCACTCATGGCCAAAGATGATTTCTTAACCGAAGCCTGCAATAATCGACGCACATCATCAACAGGAATACGCGGTGGTATCTTCCACAACAGATCCACCAACTCTTGTCCTCGGAGAAGCTGCTCAGCGACATCATCGCTAGCAAATTTACACGACCCCGCTGTCGTAGACTTGTCTTTGAACTGCGCTAGTGTGAGTAAAAGCCGCTGTTTCATTCCATCAAATTTGCGTCGACAACTCGGGTCCTCCGCCATGACGGTCAGCCCCCAATACAAATCATAGCAAAAACGAATATCGCACTGTGCTTGGCGGATTAATGATTGTCCAAGCTTGCTCCCTGTAGCATTCGTCTCGATGCTAAGACTATGGAGCAGTACGTGAAGATAGCTCCACCACTCATTTTCCGTAGCAGTCTTTAAAAGCGCATCCACTGCCAAGGCACGCAGACGATGATTGTAGATTGTTTCATCAGCCAATATCTCAAGAGCGTCGACACTGCCAAGTTGAGGCTTGCAGAGACGTGAACACATCGTCAACATACATTTATGCTTACGCTCCTGCTGCAACAACCCCAGCACTTCGTCTATCAATTTTGTATTCTTTTCACGCCGACGCCAAACCGATTCTGGACTTTCAACTTCACTTTCTGTCATATTGGTCACAAAATGTTCGGTCTCATTCTCGTTTGAAAAATCAATGGCTTTAACAAGCTGCAAAAGCCATTTAGTGTGCCCACCCAGGAATTTTCGATTGATAATCAGCATTTTCTTTTCTCGCTCTGAGAGACGATGAGTAGGTAAGTAATACTGAATTTGGCGAAACATTGACAAGCACATAATTGTCGCGCGATGCCATTTGCGGCACACCTGCCCTAGTGTTCGTAGCTCTTCTAAATCAAACTCGCACAGTTCAAATACTTTAACTGTATTGTAGTGATGTCGCCGTTGCTGAAGTGCACTCGCACAGTCATCACAAACACGCTGCATGACACTTCCATCAGGTACATGCACGGATCCATGCGAACCTGGACCTGATGATACTACACTACTGGAGAGCGACGTCGAAGTGCTACCTATTGTCGACCGATTTGGTGTAAACTTCGAGATAACATTGTTCTCCTGCAATCTTTGAATTTCCTTTAAGAAATTTTCCTGATGTTCCTCTGGCTTTATCGTTTCTGGGTCCAACAGCGTTTGCGAGCGTCGAATCGGCAAGCTGCTACATACTTCTAGACCTGTGACGTCATTCGGATTCGAATAGGACGTCAAATACCAGCTAATATTTCCAATGAGATCACTAGCATTTGTTGTAAGCGAGTTATACGCTGGGGACACAGGTGTCGCCTCGTAATCGCCTGGAATGACCACACGTTGACTTGAACAGGCAGAGCAAAAGATACGCCCGCACGCACGACAATGATGTTTGCGGATCAGAAGTGAGAAGACAGTGTGGCACTTAAAGCACGCAAACACAGCGTCATCTTGTACCCACGACGAGAGTCTCCGTGGCTGTACGAACCTGTACATGTCTTGCCCTAGCTGTCCATCATCCCCATTCGTCCACTCGTCATCCTCAACACTATTGTCGATACAATTTGAGCTACCTGTTCGTGTCTCTTCATCAATATTTTCTAGTATATCTTCACTTCCTTCATAAACTGAGTCCAGCATTCCACTACCATAAGCGGGTGGTCCATCGTCCTCACTCTCTTCAAACTGTGGTGATGTACCTGTTGGAAATCGTCGAGATTGTTGAGTTGAGTTTTGAAGACGACCATTAGCTACTAAAGGCTTGCGATAACGACGCTGTTGGTGTAAAGTACTGCGTACTTCCAGAATCTGCGAGAATGACAAATCAACAGAATCACGCGAGGTTTCGTTGCCGTACATTGATTAGTATTAATACGTGTTGAAGTATACAAGACAGGAAGAAGCTGGCGATTTAGACCCACGACTATAAGCGTTATACGCTAATAGTAACTCAGTTTGTCCTCCTCGTTTTAACCTGACAGAATCGATATTGTTTTATAAGGTGATATTCTTATTTCAGAACAATTGACGTCAGGTGGGTCGGAAGATATCTATTGGTTGAAAAAGGATTTAGTGGCTGTTGAAGACCAACCGAAGCGGTGCAGCCATCACTCTATAAAGAATTGTTTTTTTCAGCTAATCAAAACGTTTTATCATGACACGATCTGAAATCCATTGGCTGAATCTCAAGCTTTGCAAAAATCGAGAGGCTCTCGAAAAGGGGGAGAAATCCTTGATCACTTTCGAAAGAAGCTTGGGACCAACAGGTAAAAGATTCTCAGGTCGTAGTAATTAAAGTTAACAAAGGAAAGATGGATAAGGTGATGGAATACAAGGAGAAGATTTCTGCCAAGCTAGAGCGATACGATAAAATCGTCGAGCTGGAGAAGCAGACGGGCGTGGATAAGTTTTACATCTTCTGCGTTGGTGCCCTCTTATTGGGTATCGTGCTGTTCGTAGCGGGTGGTGAACAGCTAGTGGTTGGTCTGGTGGGATTCATTTACCCGGCATACATGTCGTTTAAGGCTATCAATACGCCTGGAACTGGTGATGACACGCAATGGCTTACATACTGGGTTGTTTACGCGTTTTTCAACCTCACGGAGTCAGTCACGGATCTTGTTCTCTCTTGGATCCCGTTTTACTTTTTCCTGAAGATTGGGTTCCTTGTTTGGAATTACCACCCAAGCACTCAGGTATGACTGACGATTTCAAGATCATATTTGTTCTAGCTATTAATCTGTAATGCCAATTTGTTTATGTTAGGGCTCTAAATTGATTTACAACACGGTGATCAAGCCATACGTGGCCCCTCATGTCGGACACATCGATTCGGCGTTGAAGCGTGGTGAGGATGCGGCAAAGAAGCTGGCAGCGAAGATTGATGAAAAGTCTCAGTAAGCGTTGTCGCTATTGAGGCAAATTCGTGCGCGTAGCTTCGTATGGATGTCTTCTCAGCACTCCATTTTTAGTAATGATAGCAGGCTGTCTCAGCAGGTATAATGTGTTTGCAGTCTAATTGAGGCTGTAATCTGTGCTGCTGATTAGTTTTGCAAATCGATTGAGGTCATTGTATCTTCCGTGAACGGATAATATAAGTTTTTCATTACGAACATTATCGTATGCCCACCAGTATTGGTGTCTGGCGTTTTGTGATGATTATTTGCTACCGAGCTTCGACATTCTGGTGTCACCTGATCTCGTGGCTGACGTTTGAGTTAGAAACTTTAATATCCAATAGCTACACTATCTCAGCAGGAGCACTATTTAAACAAACGCTCCCAGCATTGGCAAAAAATGCACATGCTGGCACGAGGACGGGACTGACGACACTGAATGATTACTGGATGCGTCGTTACCTACGTGCAACTATCTGAGAGTAATAGTTTGAAAACGTAGATGACCGTTAGATATTACACATTTTTCATGTCGTCCACACAGGTGGGTAATAGAAATATGGTCGTAGCGACAATCCACTAATATTTCTGCCAAATTTTTGTGGATTCAAAACAGATTAACAAACTTTTTGTGAAATGGGTCTGTATACTTAAAGGTTTTATTCGCACAAAGCCCCAGTGCTAATTAAATCGATTGACCGAAATTCATACAGTACGTTACGCCACATTTTTCGCGTCGTTTTCGAGACTTGATTACCCACACGTAACTTCTACTTTGTAGTGTGCCATCCGCGGGACTTCTTCAACCGAAGAGACATAAGCAGAGGTAAAACGCTCACCAGTTCATCAGAGCCGGTCTGTAAGGCATGAGCCGGTCTGTAAGGCATATTCTTAGTCGCCTAGTAAATATATAACTTGGGCTCTAACGTATCTGGATACATGACTATATGGCATTATGAAGTGCCGTTAGTACTTGCACGTGCACGTTTCTACCGGCATGTTAGCAGAGCGCCACAACGCTGACCAAAACATGGCTAATATGACTAGGTAGACGGAACGGGGTTTGTGTTTCCGCATTTAACTTCGTCCGTAAACTTGTCAAAGGGGATTGAGTAAGGGATCTGACTTTGTTTTAAACTCGAGCTGAAATATCCGGCTTGTGGAGATGATTAAGAATGCTTTCAGCAAAAGTCGCAGGCTAGATCGCAAATTCAAGCATTTAGCAATGCCCCAGTTTGAGTTCTGCTGAGGCTGGCTGTTAAACTCTTAAAACGGGCTTGGCGACTTTCCTTTTTCTCCACAACCTTTACAGGTGAGAAGTAGAGTATAGATTCACTTTTCGTCATTTCATTTCATTTCTCTTCTCATCTCTTCTCTTCTCAAACGTTTAATTCCCAGTAGAAGATTTGTCGCAAATTTCCCGATCTAAGCTAAGGTGCCATATTGGGATGTTATGGTCTTTCGCATTGAGGAAAATCTGGCTGTCGTACCGAGTATCGCTGGTAGAACTTCTAGGCCATGATCGGCATGTCTGAAAGTCCGATTGTAAGAAGCAGACACCAATTTTGGTCAATGACTCGAGAAGAGATTCCGTCCATGAAACACTCACTTTTGTGTGATGTCGCAATAATCCCACTATGGTATTCGTTTTGGTGGTGGAGGGTGTAACAGTGAACGTACTGTATTTTGGTGCACGTTTATTAACGTACTGCATTTTGGTGCACGTTTTTAAACTATAACTGAAATCAAGAGGAATGGCGAGGAGTATCGAATTCGGAGTTGCATGATAACGTATTATGACAGCGCTGTCACGAATCAGGAAACTGAACTTTCGAAATAAAAATTTACAGGGTTGTTTGGTTATTGGTAGGCGGCAAGTTCAAGACTAGACTTTGTTTAGCGTTAGAATCTTGAGGCCTTGCCTCCAAGTCCTTCAACAACGACTTCCAATGTGACACATGGCGACTGTTTCGCTCGCTCTCCCACGTGTTCTCGTCTTCTGGATAGCCAGCCCATTTCACTAGAAACTGCCGTCTCCCTTTGACTGTCTTCATCTTCCATAGGGCTTCGATGGCGTACGTAGGTTCGTTTTTCTGCACCACAACAGGTGTGCTCTTTTGCTGCGGTCTTCCTTCGAATGCGCTTGTGTCGCCTGGAGACTTCT